GCTTGTCCCATTTAGAAATATTGCCATTGGTGTAAAGAAGAACCTTAGCAATCAAGGGCAAAGGGTTCAAGTACAAAGATACATTGCATGTCCGTCTGAGGATCCAGAGAGCAATTCCAGCAAGAAGCGGCGGCTTTATTTGGCCATGGCGAAAACCCGTGCCAAGGCAAAAGGCCAAGGCAAAGCAAATGCTAAGGCAAAGGGCCGAGGTATTGGCAAAGGCGACTTGCCAAGTGAGCGGACTGAGTAAAAAAAATCGCCGCCTCGGTGTTGAAGTCATTGCTGGTGTAAGTCAGAGCAGAACTCCTTAGCGTGGCTTTCGGAATCCTCGCACCTTGCAGGCCGGCGGGCCAAGTCTTCTATTGGCCGCGAACTCAATGTTTGCTTGCCAAGCTGCCTTCCATGCCATTCTTGCCTATCACAGCCTGGGTCTCGAAAACATGCTTCTGTGCACTAGACTAGTAACACGTCTGTTGGACAGGAGGACTCCTCGGAAGAACATGTTTTCTTGTGCCTCAGGCCCATTGAACATTCTGGCACCTGCACTTGTCAGTCGAAGCCTCTGCGAACGGTCCTCTGTGTACCCTGCGGTTCAAACCCAGTTGTGAAGATGCTGCTAGCTAGTGCCCAGCTCGGCTCNNATCTCTACTCAAGACTACACACATCATTCCTCAGGCAAGACAGCGAACACGGACCACAAGGAGGCAAGCTGGAGTGTCGTGCGTTCATTGCCTCTGCGGTCTAAAGTGAGTTGCTTGAGAGACCTAAAACATACACTTGCAAAATGCCGGCCAAGTTGTGGCAACTTGTTGACACTGTGCTTTGCAATCCAGTCCTCCAAGCTGTTGGTTGCTGTGAGTCGAACAAAGACGAATTTGTGGAGTAATTGCTAGTGCAGATATGTAGAATGAATGCTCCTTGCCCCAATTGGATTTTATTCACAGCTCGCCTTCCTGTCCGACGTCAGCTGCAAATATGTCCAAGCGTGCGTTTTCTTTCTTTGGAGAGTAAGACCTGACGGAAACGGAACTGCTGGCCAACATATTGTCGTCCCGACAACATATTTATTCCAGGCAACCAGCTCGCCTTCGTCGCCCTCCTCACCGGGGAGCATGTCCCAGGAGACGGTTGCTGGGAACTGACGGGTAAGACTTCAGACCTCACACGAAGTTCTCGAAAGTCATTATCTTCAGCTTCTCGGGCTTGACTTGCCTGCATGCAGCCTTTGGGTTTGGATGGTGTAGAAGTCCTACAGTAAAATCTTGGAGTTGACCCCTGCTGTATCCAAAGTTGGAGCCCTTAGACTTCATTTGCTGCTCGACCTGTGCCGGACTGCTATCTGAATCTGCCAGCCGAAAGCATTTTGGAACAGCCCGAAAGCTTGCGGTTCTGGAGGCCACTGTAGGACGAAATTTCAGAACCTCGACCCTGAACAGCGGGAAACCCTTTGAAGCATGAAGCCTCATTCGAAGCTCTCCCGAGCACATAATTCAGGGAGCCGGGAGTCTTGAGCATCCTTTGCGAACGGCCTGTTCAAGCTTGCACCGTCGCAGTCGCCTTCGAAGGGATTCCCCAAACTCGGAATTACACAGTGTTGTTTTGATTCCTGGAGCCTAGGCCTTCGCCGCCTATCAAGCGTCCAGAGTCTACACGGATAATACTAGGTTGGAATCCAAGTTCTATCCGGGTTTTTTCTGCTCCCGGCCATGGCTGCAGCTCAGCCTCCACCGGATCCTCGCATCGACTCTGGATGCCGGAAAGTGGTGGAGCGAAATCTGTTCCAACTTGCTCAGAATGACCACGGCCGAGCACTCCTCATCAACAAGAAAACCCATGAGCGGCACGTGGTCAAGGACTTTCGGGACCTTCACTTTCACGAGGGCCGTGCGTTTGTGAGGTTGACCAATGGCGACAAAAAGTGGCTGGACAAGGTCTTTTCATGGACTGTGTGGCTCTCTGAGAGCGACAAGGAGTTCGTCATGAAAACTGGCGACNNTGGCTGGAAGATTTCCTGAAGAAGCGGTGCATATTGCATCCCAAAACCGGGGGAGACTCTCGGCCGCATCTCCTGAAGCGACACTTTTTTGCTTTGACACTTAGAAATTAGGAGCAGTACTGGCTTACTTGTGACCCTCGGCACTAGCACAGCTTGGCTTTTATCAGAGACTAAGTNNGGAGCACTATAGACTTAGTTCCCAGACCGTCTCTGTGCCCGTTGCTGGAAAGCGCAGGAACTTCCGGTGCCACGTCATGGTGAATTGTGGCTGGTGCAGTACCAAGTGCCAAGACCCCAGCACGGCTGCCGGTACTTTTGGTCTATGTCTTGCTTCTGCAAATTAAAGCCGGCGGATGTGAGCAAGGCCGCAAAGCGATCATGGATGGAGATGGGTCGGAAGATCTTAGGGTCTGAGCAGCACTTTCTCTTCCCGCTTGGTAGCCAGGATGCGTCCTCTGCTGCGGATTCCCGAGTACACCAAGTGGCGAGCTCCACTCAGATGATGCTGGTGGTGCTGTGCACTTCTGCTGTGTCGGGAAAAACAGAAGAACAGAGAAATTCTTCCAGAGATTTCTTGCATGCGCTGCTCAAATTTCTGTCGCCTTGGGCATTCACGGTGTCCGTGGAGGGTGTCGACTTCGACTTCGCCTTGGATGCAGATGCCCAGATCGACCTTCGGGAATTGCTTGGGTCTGACTCATGGAGGCAATGCCTAGCAGGCAAGAGGAGCCCTTTCCAGAAGCATTTCAAGCAGCGGGAACAAAAGCTCTGCGATGTTCTCCTGAGCCTTCGCAATGTGGAAAGGCACCACGACCTGCTGAGGAAGCTCCTTGTTGCCATTGCTGCTGGGCTCGAGATCGCCTTGGACTTCGTACCGGAGGCTTTTATGCCAGAAGAGGAACTGGACGAAGAGCGGCTGGAGAAGGGCCTAGGCTCTAAGAGCTCCAGGGACATGGCAGGGAGAGTGAGAAACGTGCGCTCTTTGCGAGGAGGCCTGAACCAGAAGAAAAAGATGTCCCTGAGGCTGACAAATCGTCAGAAAGCCAAGATTCGCGGTATGAAGGCCAAGCTCCAAGGACTGGTGACCAAAAAAGACAGACACAGGGAACGAGCATTATACTGGCAGGCGGCCCGACGCCATCTGCAAACCGCCAACCGACTCGCCGTCGCCTTCGATGCCAGTCGCGTCGGAGGGCGCAAGCGAACCACTTACATACTGCAGCACCTCACATCTGGGCAAGCAGCATGGGGTCCGCCACAGGCCTCAGCCAGGATTTTATTCAAGCAGTAGGTCATCTAATAAAGTAATTTTCATTAGGGTCCTGTACTTTCTTTCTTTTACTTTGAAGAACTGTTGTCGCAGGTGCACCAAGACAGTGCCTACCGACTGGCGGGAACAACACCGGACCCATCCGAAGCAGCCATCTTGGATAAGCAAGCATTGGCCTTGCTGCGTGCCTTGGGCAATGCAGGGCATCGGTTTCTCGTTTCTGTGCCTTTCAGAAATAGAACATGGAAACCCTATTTAAGCTGCTATATTATACTAGAAAAGGGTTTCCATCTCTTGTCTCTGCCCTGAACAAATCATACGTGAGGTGGCGAGCGACACAGAGAAGCCAGTGAGAGAACGAACGACAGCGACGTCGTCTTCAAGAAGTACAAAGGCCCGCCGGAGCGTGCTGCTGCCTACGACTCCTTGCTCGCCTTCGACCATTGCCTTCGCATCATGCACGGTGATTCCGGTTTGGAGGCTTTCTTGGCAAGGGATGGTCAGGATGAAGAAGACCTGCGGCAGAAACCGATTCTTGCCGTTCTTCTGGTTGGCTCTTTAGACTTTAACTTTTTGGGCTTCTATGTGAACTATAATAAGTAGGCTAAAAGT